AAAAAAAAAAAAAAAAAAGGACTCTTTGCTGGCACGTTGCCCAAATTCTCCCTACAACAGTTCTGGTAAAATGTGGGGTGTCCTGAACCAGATTCAGGTGCAGGATGACTGCCCGCAGGTGAGATTCAGCTTGCAGCACCTGGCCTATAAGAAGAGGTGCTATGGAGATGCCATTTTTGATGTTTCACAATATTTCTGCTTACTGACTGGCTGTCCAGCCTCCGCCATCCTATTCCAGATGGCACCCCTATCTGCCCTCCAAATTTGACACAAGGAGTCCATGCTTCACCAGATTTTCCACTCAATTCCTAGTTTCCTCTTGAACTGGAAATTGTAATCTTCTGTGTGGAAGGGGCTGGTTGTCACTGGCTCCGGCCACTTTAGCACCTCAGCACAGACTTTTCAGTCAGTCTCCATGAGGGAGGGGCTGGTTGCCGCTGATGCCTGCGGATCCAGCCCCCAGCACAAAAGACTTTTCAGTCGCCAAAGGGGAGGGGTTGGTTGCTGCTGTAGCTCCCACTTCAGCACAGGGCCATAAAGACTTTTCTAAAATTACAAAGTGTGTCTGTTTCCTAAGCAGGATCTTTTCCCCTCAGTTTTCTATCTGGCTGCCTAGACCCCTTATGCTCCAAACAGGGTCCAAACGGCTCCCCTTTCTGGTCACCAAATTCCGCTTGGGAGTCCACGCCTCACCACACTCTCTACAAAACACCCAAAGTCCCCACGAATTTGGAATAGTAGTCCTCCATGGGGGAGGGGTTTGTTGCTGCTGCCTCAGGCCATCAGCCACAGCAGCTGGTGCCACTTCAGCTGTGGCTGCTGGGTTTTCTCTGGCAGATACCACCGTTCTGGTTACAATTCCAGTCCAGGAATCCACCTCTTTGCTGCACACCTGTGTTGCCTGTCTCTGCCAACACTCCACACAGGGAAAGATCCAGCCCCCTCACTCCCACCATATCCCAGCCTTGGGAATGTCCTGGAGACCTCCCTACAGATCTCCCAGTGCCTGCAGGTTACAGGGTGACAGAGGGTATTGTACAGACACCTGGATGCTCCTGGAGTAGCAACAGTTGAAGAAGGAACCCCAGATCAGCACCCAGCTCAAGAGACAGGCAGGGCTCGGGATCTTTTCTGACTCTTAAAAAACAAATTTTCACAAAACAGGATTACAGTTTATAATGAAGTTAATTATTTACTTGGCTAACCTGATAATTAGAAGGTTTAAAAGGCAAGAATCTTATTCTTTGACAAAGACTCATTTTCCCAAACACTTTAAACAACCAAATTATTGAATTTTACAATGAGAGACATTTTATGGAATATAACATTGATATAGGGTTTTTCTACTCAGGGCTGGATAGGGATACACCATTTTTCAGGCCCAGGTAAGCTCAGAAATCAGACTTCCATTTCTAGGCCCAAACAGCCTGCACAATGCAGGCCACATTCTCTGAACTCCAGCAAGGCCATGAACAAAGCAGTCTGAAATGTTTTGGGTGACTCCACTCTGAGTAGGGAATACACACCATAATTCCCTCCCTACAGCAAAAACTGCAAATATCTAATAACCTTGTCCCAGGGGAGGGACTGCATTCGTTTATTTGTTAAAACACTCATTCAGCTTGTATAGGTGCTTTCCCACCTACCAAGTCCTGGAAAAAATTTCTCTTAGGGCCACTACCCCTAGACAAAGGACCCATGCAGGAGAACTCTGACTTGGGCCTCCATTCCCCTTCCAGAAACTCTGGTGCTCTTTACTCTCTTTGCATGCCCTTCCATCCAACAAAGTCCCATTTTATCATTGGTCTATGGCCTGTAGTTTCAATTCTTGAAACCCCGAGACCAAGGACTCACTGAAGAAAGAAATTCCAGTAACAAAATAAAACAGGGGGTTCGTAGGAAATCAGACTCCATAATTGTCAGAGAAGACAACAGTGAAGTTCTTTAACATGCACTGAAGGGGTGTCAGGGGTTTACTTTATTGAGTTCCCATGATTGTCAACCCAACCAAAAAGAATATAAATTATATTGGGACAGACAATAAGAATAACAAGCACACTGATGACAATGATGATGAACAAATACGTGAACAAATTGAGTACGTTCATCTGAGGTCTAGGCTCCCCACCAGTGTCCCCATGTTTCCAGGAACCTGGGACAGGCCTACCCAGCACCAGGCAGCCTTCAGGAGCCCCTATGTCTCCTTAGTGGGCCACTATCATCCTCCCTGCATGCTAACTCATTTCCCTGGGTCACTCATCACATCCCGATGGCACTGGCATCCCAGTGACTATTTTGTGGTGTATTCCTGGGAACATATTACTTCCTGAACACAAATAAACCACACTCAGACAGAAAAATAACACTTACCTCTTGAGGGGGAGTTCTGGATCTAAGGTTTTGGTGGTCAAATGGAGTTTCTACAGTGTCCTCAGGAAGAGTTCAGGAAATTACAGGGCCCTCGAACATCTCAGGGAGCACCTCCCCTATAATTCTCTCCCTCTCCAGGGTGACACACAGAAAGGCCAACCCTTCAGCTGGTGAGATCTCACTGGGGCCTCCAAATATTGTACCCAACATGAATGGAATTATAAAGAAAACATAGGCACACTGTTCAAATTGGGTATGGGGTCCTTTGTTTGCTGGTGAGACTGAGAGACGGTTCTGAGATTTTGCAAGGTTGGATCTATAGGGTGGGGGGTTGGGTAGTTATAGGAATGTGGTTGTACAAGGGTCTGTGACTCTGGGCTAATACTCTGTCTCTGCAGGATATGTTGGTTTAACAGCCTGTTTCTGCAAAATCTATGTGTTCAGGGGCAGGTAGAGATGAGATGGGGAGAGGGAAAGAGAGTGAAAAATGGGGTCTGTCTGGCCTTTCAAGATGTCCAAGAAGAAAAACATTTTCTTTCCCTTTATTTCCCCAAATCCAATTCAAATAATATCCTTCAAGGCCTGTCTAGTTTATTTCCTAAATACTTCCTGGATTTGTTCACATCACTCCACCTCCTCTTTCCACTGCCCTGCCTGGGCCACAAGGGTAACCTAATGGTCCTTGTGTCTTCTCACTTCATTCTCTCCATGGGGAACAATTATTAAAACATACAGAAAGTCTAGATTAGATCAGGTTGTCTCTCACCTTTAGCTCCTTAGCATTTAAATCTAAGCTCCTGATGTTGGCCTCAAGATCCTCAATGACCAGCTCCTTACCCCTTCTGATTCCCTATCCTGCTTCCCTCTCCCATTCTTCACCTTATACTTCACACTGCCTTCCTTTCTGCTTCTGAAACATGCTGTGCCTGTTCCCATTTTATAGAAGGTTTTTAATGAGTGATTTGACTCAAGCTACTGGAAGCGGCATGTGCCCTTAAGGCAAACAGGAAAGAACAGATGGAGAGAGTCTGACTCTGGGTATCTTCTGGAAAGGAGACAGAGAGGAGGGGGTGAGTGTGAGCCTTCTCTAGGGGCTGACTCGTGGACTACCTAAGGCTTGGGGATTGGCTGGATATGAAAGATGGGGAACCCCCAAAGCACACAGAATGAGCTTTTGTATGGCCATTTAGACCTCTTTGAAAAGCACCTGGGGCTCAGCTCCAACAGCCGAAGTGAGGAGGTGGGGACATCAGACTGGGGTGGGTTGTCACCCTTTGTTTCTTCCAGGTGCTCCTCCATAGGCCTCAGGGCCACCAGCAGCAACAGTCCCTGGACTCATACTGGGGGGCAACATGGTCACTGAACAAAGAAATCTGGTCTTTGGGGAAATTTGGGACTGAAATCCAACTGAACAATGCTGCCCTAGCTGTTCCAAGTATAAGTCTGTGTCCATCTTTTCTATTTCACTCAAAGGTGCTGTGTGGATTGACAGGTGAGTGATCTCAAGGGCCACAGCACTTTAGATGGTTTCATGTTAGCTTTTGTTGGATTTTGATGGCCTGTGCTGGCTCAGGCAGAAGTAGCCGCTGAGATGGAGCCACACAGGGAGACACAGGGGATGGCATAGAGCTGGGCCTGGGTAGGCATGTTGGGGGCAAACAGAGGGAGCTGTTGATTTTGTTGACAAGACATAGAGGTGGCAGCTCACTGAAAAGCAAATTATTGCAAAACCTAGGGAAATTGCTTCTTCACGTGTACCTTCTAGAGCTTTACCCCCAGTTGGGGGAAAATTCCTGCCCTACAATGCCTAAAGGTTCTAACCTTTAGGGCTAAAGGTTCTAACCTCTGATATGGGCTGGTTTCTCTGTCCTCACAAAATGCATGTACTTTGTTTTACTGACAGGCTAT